TTTTTTTACCATTTTAAAATAAATTTCATATTAGACAAAATAGTAATTCAAATTATTTCCTAATACTTAGGACTTAGTTCCTTAATTAAATTATGTATCAAGTCCTAATATTTAGGAATTCAAATCAATTAAGATTTTACCTTGTTTAAATTGTTTTCTTATTTAAATAATTTATATAACTGATATCATTCCATATTAAGTTCTTAATATGTAGGATTTTAACATCAACTAAAATTCTATTAATTAAACGCTTTAATAAACTCACCCAACACATGCACGTTCAATGGTGGTAAGAAAATATAGGGGAACATCATGGAAACCATTCGGGCTAATTGATTTTTTTTTAACTTTAAAATTAAATTACCTTATATGAATTATTCTTTATTTTAGTAACGTGACATAATCGTCATTTTTTCATGTTATAATTCAATATTTAAAATTTGGCATGAACAAAAATCTAATGAGTTACTATCACAATAAAATTAAATAATTAAATCTTTGAATTAATTATTAGCAAAAAACTATAATCCAACTATTTTTCAAATGCATCATCTAACTAGAATTAATTTTTTAGTTGACAAAAATCTTTGATATACAAATTTGTTTCCATAAGATCAAGCAAATTGACGGTGAAAAAAATAGTAAAGGATGAATATCAATTATAATATAGCATTAAGAGTAAAATTGATTAAAATACAAACTAAAATTAATAAGAATAAAATAGTAGACATGATTATCTACTATTTGAATTAAATCTTTCAGAACAATGTACGAACTCCAATATCTAGGTACTTAGAGTATATTGCAAAAATATCTATTTAAATTTAAATTTAGATAAACTAATATTAATTAAGATTTGAAAGGGTGGGAAGGAGTTTTCCACGTTTTAAATGCTTGGACGAAATTATAGTTATATTTAAATATTTAAAGTTTGAGCTAATATGGATTTGAATCAACAAATAAATAAATTTTTGCTTTAAGGTTGAGAACCAATGGTTAGTTCTTAAATTAATTAACCAATTAGTAATTCAAAGTATCCAATTCAGTTTTTTCTTCAAATTTATATAGGTAAAATTATTTTTAAATTTATAAAACTCTTAGGCTACATAAATTTATTTCTATATAAAAAAAAAGGCATTGGTAGTAAGATATCAGAAAATAGAGCAAATTTAGTAATAGTATTAAAAGTCACATTGATAAAATACAAACATAAAGCAATAAGGACGAAATATTAGTAGATAAAATTTATTTTAAATGTGAGTTAATTTTTATAATTATCTTTTTGTTTCTTTTCACATTCATTTCAGCAAATGATAGCTCCTTATTTATTTTTATATATTAAGTTATTTTTGAAAAGACATTAACTCAACAATTATTCTTAGACTTTGCATCATCATTTATCAATTGTTTTGTGAGCTACAAAGCCAACCTTTTCATTCTCAAATCTCTAAGATACCAAAAAAATCAATTATTCAGCTTTTCAATTTATTTTATTTGACAAATCTTTGAATAACCATAAAAGTATTTTTCTGATTTATTTGTTTCAGTATTAGGCAATAGAAATGCCAATAATTTTAAAATCACAATAAGACATCTAAAAACTTTGATGGAGCAAGATTTCTTTCATTAGGTTTGCCAAACGAGATCGATATTCATCATTTTAAAGAACATACCCTTCTTCTAATTTTTATTTAATAACTCAAACACATAATGTGATTTTTAAAAACTGAGTACCCATTAATATAAATACAAGTGCAAAACGCGTACTCTAAGACTAATTCTACTAAACATTTGAATTAAGAAGTGAAAATTTGAAGGTTTTATTTTTTTTTATAAGCTATTAGTAAAATTTAGATGTCTTTATGAAAAAGTGAATGCCACACTTTGATAGGTATGATATATATTTAATATCATGGAAGTATTTTATGTAGTGAGTTTACAAAACAATCATAAAAGAAAGCTCTTTTTTGTTAGAATTATAATCCTTTGGCCTTTGTAACTTGTGAGAGCTTTAGCAACAAAAAAAAAAAAAAAAATTGTGAGAGCAACACCAAACTTGTTTTCATATTTTATTTTTTTTGCATCACGCTTTCATAGCTTATTGGTAACACCAAAATTGTTTGGGACCGATAACTGTTGTTATTTTATTCAATATAGCTTGACAACAAGAAAAGAAAATACGGAAAGTACATCAATTCTAGCTTTACATATTCTCTTTAGTTTGACAAAAATAACATATTCTCTTTAGTTCAAGTTTTGGAATATGTAGAGCAAAATTTGATTTTAGTTGTATTAGTCAAATTAGATAGATGAGGACGATCTCTAACTGACATATTGATTATTTTGCATATAAATAATTACTGACAAAAGTAATGATAAACTTACCTTATACACAAATAATAATTATATTGAGTTTGAGAAAAGACACGTTTACTAATGTAAATATTCTCATAAATTACGGTATCAAACTGTGGTACCGATCAAAAAAAAAATTTCCTTCTCTCTAATTTTTACTATGACAGATTTACAATCCTCTGACCCCCCACCTATTCACCCACCAGCCCCTCCTGACCCAAGCAATGATATATCGACAACTTACCTAGCCAAATCTAATAACACATATACAACACCTACAACTCTCCCATTAACGCCTAGTGTGACAGATACAAACCAACCAAACACCACCAAAACAATCATCGTCGTCAATCCACCCATAAACAACATTCAGACAAATCCTCCTTCATCTCCTAATGGAAAGAACATCCCTTCACAACCAAACCTCTTAATCGGAAAGACAAAGATTCTCAGAGTTCAATTGATCCGAGTTACTTACAACCCCAAAATGCAGAGGTATAACATACAAATATTCCTTCAGACCATACACCAAACCAGCATAACATGCAGAGTGGGAAAGAAGTGATACTGGGTAATAGAAATCATGATGCCACAAGTAGTAGAAGACATGAACAGGTAGTGTCCAAACCTTCTTTTGCTAGCAAAATTACCATCTCTTATTAGTGGAGCTTCGACGGTCGAAATAAAGCATGGCACCACCTGGGTAAACAAACAGTTTGCTTTAATGCTGAAGATTATTTTGTAAAATTGGCCCAACAATGCAAACTTACCATCATTGGTAAGTTCTACAGGAAGAAACCCACTATGGAGGAGATAAGAAAAGCTTTTATTAGGCAATTTCATTTGACATGCCCTGTTAAAATTGCTTATTTTGACCTGAAGCATGTCTACCTTGATTTTGCCAATGATGTTGATTGTAATCACATTTTCTCCAAAGAATACATCGACATAGGAGAGGCTTCGATGAAGATATTGAAATGGACCCCTGATTTTAAGCCAGAGGAGGAGACCACTATTGTCCCTGTATGGATCTTGATCCACCAATTACCGTGGCACCTGTTCAATTGGCAAGTTGTTTCATGACTTGTTAGTGAAATTGGAGTTGCGGTGGCCCCTGACCAGACAACATACTCCAAATCTAGAGGCAATGTGGCTAAAATCAAAGTTGAAATTGACTTGTTAAAACCAAGACTAGATCAAATATGGCTGAGATTCAAAAGATTGGATGGTACTGATGATGGCAGGTGGCTTGATATTGAGTATGAAAAAATTTCAAACTATTGTCTGTATTGCAGAATGCAAGGGCATATGGAAAGTCAATGTAGGAATAAAATTTGGGACGACAGAATCAAACTTCAAAGGAAGGAGAAAACTAGGAAAGAAGCTCAGAACAAAAAGGAGGATGGTTTCCAGAATGTTACCAGGAAAAGAGCTTCCAAAATGAAATCAGCACCAAGTAACAACAATGTTAAAGTAAGTCAGAATGGAGCAAAATAGCAGACAGATGTGCCAATTCAATGACAAAATAGTACAGCGAACCAAATTGAACTGAATGATAGGAGGAATAAGGGCATCACTATTAAGGAGCCATCTATTAATCAGAAACTTCCAGTGATCATAGAGGTCCCTGGAAAAGGGAAAGGGAAAGCACATGAAGAGAGAATTGATCTTAATTATCAAAAACAACAAGAAGTAGAATGCAAGGATACAGGAACTTCAGAAGCAACAAAAATCATTAAAAAGAACAAAATAAGCAGAAGAAAGAAACAAAGTGATTGGGGAGAAATTGATCAAGGCAATGCGGCTATAAATACTGTACAAACTCATTCCACAACTCAAGAAAAGGGAGAATGAAGCGGCACCATGGAATCGATACAACAAAAGGGTAGTGAACAAAGCAATGGTCACAAGGAAAATGCATATCAAATCAGGGAGGAAAAAGTCGATGATCAAAATGGCAAGCAATGTCAAAGTATTGAAGCCAATTTTAAAGATTGATCATGGAAAGGTTCAGAACAATTATCTCAAGCTAATTAGTGACACAAGTCTTAAAGAAGATCAGCATAATGATGCTTTGTATGAATTTGAACCAGGGGAACAAACAGACTCATCAAGGTAAGATGAGGATAGTATAGATGACAGGAATTATGAAGATGAGATGAGTTCAGAAGCCAGTGAAGATTATGCAAGCTTAGAAAGTGAAGGGCAACACAGTGATGACCACAGAACTAATGAAGTTATTAATGAGAGACTTTGCAGTGATGATCACGCAGATGTATTGGTAGAGACATTTTGTCCCCAATCTCTTGTGGATGTTATTGTGACATCTGAACTAGATAAAGTTACCAATAATATGCATGTATCCAATAGAGGTAGGGGCAGAGGCGGGGGAACAATAGATGAGGCAAACAAGCATCAGGAGGAAGAGGTGGTAGGCACTCTAATCAACAGCCTGTGTCTGGAGCACAGGAATTACATTTGTCCAACTAATCAATGTTTAGGTCTCTTTTCTAGAATATCAGGAGCATTACTTCTAATGGTGCTCTTGAGAGATTGAGACAAATTAGTAGATCATAAAAACTCCATTTGTAGCCATTTGTGAACCATTTTGCAAAGTTGATAAATTGGACAAATTCAAAAGAATAATGGGTTTTGCTAATGCATATTCTAACAGCAACTGTCAAATATTGATCTTCTGGGATGAGGCAGTGGATTGTAGGGTGGTTGAAGAGAGTGAGCAGAAAGTTACTTGTAGCTTTAACTGGATGGGGACTAATATCCTCATTACTTTTGTGTATGTTAAATGCATTGCTGACTTTAGGAAAGACTTGTGGGAGAACGTTAAAAACATCTCAGACAGATACAGTCTTTCTCAGTACATTGCAGGGGATTTTGATTGCATTGTCGACCCTGTTGAGAAACAAGGTGGGAGCCCTCACAGAATGTCCAAAAGTTTATCCTTTTTGCAATGTATTATGGATTGTGATCTCATTGACCCTGGTTATTCGGGCTCTACTTTTACATGGTGTAATGGTTGGCAAGTTGATAAGAGGGTTTGGAAGAGATTGGATAGGATACTTGTTAACATGAGTGGTTAAATATCTTTGATTCTACCAGTGTCAATCATTTGATTAGGACAAGATAAGACCATTCTCATCTCTTTGTCATTACCAAATATACACAAAGAGAACCTATTAAGTATTTCAGGTTTTTAGATCTCTGGACTAAAGAACCAGTTGAAAGAGCTTGGAATGTGGAAGTACAAGGATCTCCAATGTGGAGGTTCCATCTCAAGTTGAAAAACACTTGCAAGAAATTGTCAGAATGGTCAAGATCTTCTATTGGAAATATCTTTGAGAAGGTTATTAAAATGGAAGAAAAGGTGAGGGAACTGGAGGAAAAAATCATCAATGACAACACAGATATGAATAGAGGTGAATTAAATCATGCAAATTCTCTCCTGATTAGGGCATACAAGAAGGAGGAATCATTCTGGAAACAAAAATCTGGGGTGAAATGGTTTGTGCAGGGTGAGGTGAACTCAAGGTTTTTTCATTCGATTATTAAAGGAAGGAAGAAGAGATTATCTCTAAAGAAGATTAGGGGGAATGATGGAAACTGGATTGAAGGGGAAGAAGAGATTGCAAAGGAGTCTGTCTTCTATTTCCAAAAATAATTCATAAAAGATAGTTATGTTAATGACTTCTCAGCTCTCAATTGTATTCCTAAACTCATTGATGTGGTAGATAATGTGATGCTAAATGCAGTCCCTACGATGGAGGAATTCAAAGGAGTGGTGTTCTCAATGAGCTCACGGAGTACCTCAAGGCCTGATGGAGTATCTGGGAAGTTCTACCATGCATGTTGGGAGATCATCAATGAGGATTTAATGCTAATGATTCTTGACTTTTTTTGTAAGTAATCAGATTCCTAAGGCAATTACTCATACATATCTTATCCTAGTGCCTAAGGTGGACTGCCCAGAGTCTTTCAGTGAGCTAAGACCTATAAGTCTTAGCAACTTTTCATGCAAGATTATTTCCAAACTAATGAATCAGAGATTAACTCCTATGATGTAGAAGCTTATATCCCCTAATCAAACATGGTTCATTATAGGAAAGCCAATCAGAGACAATATCATGATGACACAGGATATGATTCACAATATAACAAAACCCTCTCCATGTGATAATGTTGTATTGAAGTTAGATATGGCTAAAGCATATGATAGGGTCTCTTGGGAGTATCTGTGTCATGTTCTCAGATCGGATTTTCTGAATGCTGGATTGAGAGTGTTTGGAGGCTAATGTCTAATATTTGGTATTTTATCAATATTAATGGTATTAGACATGGTTTCTTTAAATCTAGCAGAGGAATAAAGCAAGGGGATCCTCTCTCTCCCTCGTTATTTGTTATTGGGGCAGAGCTTCTGTCCAGGTTGATGGATAATCTACTGGAATTAAACTTTATACCATACTATGCAGATAAGAATGGGCCACATATTACTCATCTATGTTATGCAGATGACACCATCCTTTTCTCCTCTTGTGATTCTGCGTCTTTGAGACTGATGATGACAGCTAAGGGTATATGAACAAGTGTCAGGCCAACTAGTGAATAAAGAGAAATCTGTCTTTTATGTCACATTGCATGATGATGCGCCAACTATCAATGACATTAGGAGAATCACTAGCTTTTCTCAGTGTCAATTTTCTATGTAATACCTTGGGTTTCCAATATATGTGGGTAGGAAAAAGGTAATATATTTTAAGAGCATAGTGGCTAAGGTTGCCAAAATATTAAAAGGATGGCAAGGCAGACTTCTCTCTTATGGAGGGAAGGCAGTTTTAATCAAATCAGTTCTACATGCATTGCCTCTACATTTATTGTCTATTGTTA